TAATAATAGATTAAAAATTTTATCTATTTTTCAAAAAAAAATTCCATTAAATTTTAAAATAAATTCTAAAATTCATTTACAAATTTCTATTGATTTATTTTTTAATAAAACTATACCAAAAACAAATGTTAATAATTTATTAATCAAATCACTGTCAGGAAAATATGGTAAATTTAGACAAAATTTATTAGGAAAAAGAATTGATTATTCTGGACGATCTGTTATTACGTCTGGCCCAGATCTTGTTTTTTCTAAGGTAGGAATTCCAATAGGAATTGCTTGTAAGTTATTTACACCGTTGCTTATTTATATTTTAAAAAAATATAAAACAATGAAATTTCTGTTATATAATTTAGATTATATTAATATGTCAATTTTTTATAGACGTTTATTAACTCGTATATTTAAAACAACTTCAGTTTTACTTAATCGAGCCCCTACTTTGCATAGAGTAAATATTCAAGGATTTAAACCTTATTTAATAGAAGGAAATGCGATTAAGTTATATCCGCTTGTGTGTTCTAGTTTTAATGCTGATTTTGATGGTGATCAAATGAGTTTATTTTTAACTTTAACTAAACCAAGTAGATTAGAGACCAAATATATTATTTCTTCAGATAAAAATTTTTTATCAATACCAACAGGTTTAAATTTATTTAAATTAAATCAAACATTTTTATTGGGATTATTTTTTTTAAGCACTTTATATTATAAAATTAATAAAGGAAACTGTCTTTATTTTAATACACTTAATGATCTAACAGACTATTATTTAATGAAATTTTTAGATCTTCAAACTTTGATATGGGTTAAAATAATTTTTGTTAATGTAAAATTAAATATAAGGCAAAATTATTTTAAATTTTCAACTGTAGGTCGTTTAATATTAATTCAATCATTTTATTATATTTAATAAAGATATGATTTTACTACCAATACATGATAACTTTATAAATATTAATAGATTAGAGCAAAGACTAATTCAAATTTTTGCTTATTTTGTAGGAACTCAATTTTTACATGAATTAATGTATTTAGGTATGGATTATAATTTTAAATTTTCTATTGCTTTAAATTTAGAAAATATTAAGGGAAATTTTTTTATGTCTAATCTTTTATATACAAAAAATTTATTTAATATAAGATTATTATTTAAATCGATATTTAAATGTTCATATCAAAATACTATTAGTAATTCATTTAGATTATTTCAACAATTTTACACAATTCTTCATAAAATAAATCCTATATTAAATATATTAAATTTTATTATTCAAGTAGGCGCAAGATCAAATCAAATTCAGTATCAACAAATTATTGGTATGAGGGGGTGTTTAAATACTAGTCGTGGGTATTTAACTAATAGTTTTCTTGTACATAATTTTGAGAGAGGATTAAATTTAACGGAATATATAATTTCTTCTTATGGAGTTAGAAAAGGATTACTTGATACAAGTTTACAAACATCCGAGTCAGGCTATTTAACTCGAAGATTGGTTGAAGTTATTCAAGATATAATAATAAAAGAACATTATTGTGGGTCAGAAAAATTGTTAATATTAAGAAAATATAATACTATTAGGGGACATATAGGGTTTCCAAATGGCTCACTTTTATTTAATAAATATTTATATAGTTCTATAAATAGGATGGAATTTTATATTAAATCTCCTATATTATGTTACTCTGGTAGATCTGTATGTAATAGCTGTAATGGATTTAATTGTAGTTTAAAAATAATAGGAGGTGAGAGTGTAGGAGTAATTTTTGGAGAATTATTGGGAGAGCCTAGTACACAACTTACGCTTAGAACATTTCATACAGGAGGAATTTTAAAAGTAACTAATAAAAATAATTTTTATATTTTTCGACAGAAAGTACACTATAAGCCTATTATAATGAATTTTAAAACCATATTATTTAAAACAAAAAAAAAAAATTTTCAAAACTTTTAAAATTAATATTTTTAATAAATATAAGTTTCTACCTTTTATAAAACATTGTAAAAATTTAAATTATTTTAATATTAAGTTTATTACAAAATTTGTAAATATATCTTTAAATCAATTAGTTATATATAAATTTAATTTTTTTCCATTATATTCTATAATAAAAAGTTATTCAAGAACTAATTTTAATATATTCAAAATTATACAATATAATTTTTTAATACATATTTGTTCTACCCATATATTATTAAAAAATAAATTATCCGAATGGCTATTATTATTATTAAATAATAGTTTAAATTATTGTATTTTTAATTATATTCCTGAACAATTTATGGGAGGAATTGTTTTAAATAAAAAAAATTTTGAAAATCATATATTATATTTAATACAAGTATTATTTATTAATATTAATATTTATTAAATTATAAAACAAACAATTTATTATGAAATTAATAAAATATAATTTTATTAAAAAAAATTTAACTAATTATATATTTAATAAATTACAAATATATACTAAATACAATTTTTTAGTAGATTTTACATATTTAATTGAAAAATTAAAAATTCAAAAAATTACTAAGTTACTATTAAAAAAATTTAATTCTATTCATATACAAGAGAATATTTTTTCTAAATATTTAATTTTTTTAAATAATCAATATTTATATAGTACTTATATTAATAAATATACTTCTGTGGCTAACTTACATAATTATATATTAAATTTTCCTTTTTTTATATATAATATGAATATAACAAATAATATAAATTTATATGAATTAAAGCTCAAATTCATTATGTAAAAAATTGTTTAACAAATTGTCAAAATTTTAAATTATTAAAAATACCAATAATAAATAATTTAAAATCTATTGAATCTATTTTTGAATTATATTTATCACAAACTAAAATAACTATAATTAATCCTACAAATAGTTTTATTTTAAATTTTAATTTTCATAAATCAATTTTATATTATTTAGAAATTCCAATTCAAAATTTGCTACATAATTTAAACATTACAATATTATCTACTGTTTCTGAAAATTCTATATTTTATTTAAAAACTATTAATACATTAATGATTGGGGGTGATGTTATAAATATAGATACATTTACACCAAATTTAATCAATATATATTATTATAATACTCTGATTAATAATACTAATGTATATACTGCATTAAAAAATACTACTATATACACATACAATTTAATATTAGAATCTTTATTAAAACAATATCATGCTCAAGGTATTTTATTACCTTCTTTTTTGTTAGAATTAATTGTAAAAAGAATGGTTTCCTATGTAAAAATATTAAAAAGTGGAGATACTTTATTAATGTATCAAGATATTGTACCAAATACTTTAATTAATTTAATAAATCAAAGTTTTATTTTTAATGGTCTCCTAGGAGCTTATTATATACCAACCCTTATGGGAATTAGTAAATTATCATTAAGTTGTAGTGGTTTATTATCTTCTTTAAGTTTTCAAGAAACTTTAAAATCTTTAGCAAAATCTGTTATAAATAATAAAATTGATTGGATCCTTGACCTAAAAGCTAAAATAATTATGTCCGATCTAATAGATGCTGGAACTGGATGGTATAAACATTATAATATAAAATAATAAATGATTTTAAAAAATATTTTATTTAAAAAATTTATTTTACAAACACTAAACAATAAATTTAATATTATAAATCTTATATTATTTTTTAAACAAATTGTGATTTTATATATAATTTTTTACAAACAATCTATATTAAATAAACAGTGGTTAATTATAAATCATTTTTCTATGGTTAATACAAATTTAAAAATACTTCATTATATTACTAATATACCATATATTCATAATAAAAAAATAGATAATTTTATTACTAATTGGCAAATATTAAAAAAACAACTTTTTTTATTAAAATGGACATTATATTTAATTTATTTATTAAATAAAAATCAGCTTAAATTACCATTCAATAATATTATAAAATTATTTAAAAAATTTATATTTTTAAAAAAAAACTATTGGACTATTCTTAATTTAAAAAAACCAACTTATATTTTAATTATTTCTAAAGATTTTAATTCTAATTTATTACACAAATACCAAAAATTAATCCAACAAACATTTTTTATAACTTCAACTTCAATTTTAAAGTCTACGAATTTTCCTGTTTTAAAAGTACCTAATTATTTTTGTTTTCAATTAATCATAGAATTAATTGTTACAGCTCATATACAAGGTCAATATTTTATTACTAAAAATATATAGAATTGAAATTTAAATTATTACTATAATTTGGATATATTGCTATAGATTTCTGTGATTGTATTGATGTATGATAAAGAAGAAATCGTAATTTTAATTTTATATTTTTATATTTTTTAATTCTATTAGATAATATTTTTTTTTTTCGTGCTAATGTATTAGATATAATTGCTTTAAAAGATTTATAAAAAATATTTTTATTTTTGTATTTCATTAAAAAATATTTTATTTTAAAAAACATACTAGGAGAGAGAGGGATTCGAACCCACGAGATTTTCAAAATCTTCTAATTTCAAGTTAGATGTAATAAACCTACTCTACCATCTCTCCTACAATAGAAATTATAATATTAATAATTTTGTTAAAAAAAATTGTTTTAATCCTTTCGATAAGTTAAATCCATATTTTTGTAATATTATAATAAAATAATAATTAATTCTAAAATAATTATATTGTTTATTTATTCCTAATTTAGAAGGTATAGTTGATTTTTTTTTTATTTTTGATGGAACAAATATATTAAAAAATTTTTTTTTTTGTATTTTTAATTTAAGCATATATAATTTTGTGTATATATATTTAATAAATTTGTAAATAAAGAGAGTCGAACTCTTAAAATCAATTTGGAAGATTGAAATTTTACCATTAAATTATATTTACTTAATAAATTCAAATTAATTAGGAGTTATATTATAAACTATATTATTATTATATAAAGTATATGTTAATATATGAGAGGAAGTAATATTTGTTTTTAATAAAATATTAACTGTAGGTTCTACAATTAATTCATCAAATATTCGTTTTAAAGGTCTTGCCCCATATAAAGGAGATATACTTAATTTAACTATATATTTTTTTAAATTTTCTTGAATTATTAATTTAATTGGAAACTTCTGTAATTTTAATTGTTCTATAAATTGTTTTATAAATTTATTTAAAATTAATAATAATACTTTAAATTCTAATGGTTGAAAAATTAAAATATCTTGAATTCTATTTATAAGTTCTGGCCTAAAGTATTGCTTAATACTTTTCATAATATTTTGTTCATTAATTTTATAATTAATAAAATTAAAAGTAACTTCTTTTTTAAAGTCAGATATATTTTTTGGACATCCAAGATTACTAGTAAAAACAATCAATGTATTAGAAAAATTTATTACTTTTCCAGTAGAATCTGTTAATCGTCCATCATCTAATATTTGTAACATAATATTTAATATATCAGGATGGGCTTTTTCTATTTCATCAAATAATAATAAGCAGGTAGGCTGTTTATAAACAGATTCTGTCAACAATCCTTTATCTCCATATCCTACATATCCTGGAGGTGATCCAATTAATTTAGATATAGAATGTTTTTCTACAAATTCGCTCATGTCAAAACGTATCATTTTATTTTCATTTCCAAATAAAACTTCAGTAATACCTTTGGCTAATTCTGTTTTGCCAGTCCCACTAGGGCCACATAGAAGCCAACTACCGATAGGTTTATTTTCACTTTTAAATCCTGATACAATTTTGATTAAAACATTATGTATTTTATAAATAAGAAATGTTTGTCCAAATATACGTTTTTTTAATAAAAACTTAAAATTTTTAATTATTCTTGGCTTAGCAAATGTTACAGTAGATGTTGTATTAAAAAAAGTATCTAGAAGATTGTTCAGATAAAATATCGTTAAAGACGAAATTGTTGGATAAGTTTTAATAAATTGTACACAGATAAGTTCTAAAATTTCAATAGCTTTTAATGGAAATACTTTAGTCGGATAATATGATTTACTTGTATTTATGATTGATTCTAGAATATTATATGACAATTTAATCATATAATATTTTTCTAGATAAGGAATTAAATTTTTTAAAATTTGTATAACATTTGATTTAGATAATTCTTGAAGAACTAAAGATTCATATAAGTTATTTAAACAAATATTTGATGTTATAAATGTAGAAAATTGTGAAGAAGTAGTTGTAATAATAATTTGTAGCTTTTTTTGTTTAAGTAATAAAAATATATTATTAAAAATTGGAGAAATAAGTTCAATATCATCAATATTTTCTAAAGATGGAAAAATTAATATTAAATTAAAAGTTGTTAAAATCCAATTATAAATTTTATTTTTATTATTAGATAAAGTATCTGAAGAAACAGTTATATAAAATTGAATTAAATCGAATACATAAAATTCTTTTTTATTTAATTTACTATAATTAGAAATTGATTCATAAAAAACTCCTTTTATCGTGGAAAAACGACCAATTCCTGTGTTTCCTATTAGTATGAAATTATTTTTAATTCTATTATCTAATACATTTAAAATTGTTTTAATTTCAATAGAACGATTTATAATAGGAATTTTTTTAAATTTAACTAAATAACATAAATTTTGTAAATATATAAAATTAGATTGTGTTATCCATTTTATATATAACCACAAATTAATTGTAGGTATATATTTAAAAATATATTTAATATATATACTATTATGTAATAATAATAACTCTGTAAAAATATCAATTGTATTTATAATTTTATGTTTAATTAACAAATTAGACAAAATATTTAAACTTTCTTTAGAAAAATTAAATATTTCATAATTAATTTTCAATTTTTTATGAGTATTTAGTGCAAAATTATTAATATCAAACATAACCGATATTAAATTTTTTGTCATAACTAGACCCATTAAAATATGTTTAGGTGTTATAAGTTGTCCACAAGCCAAATCTTTAGCCTTAATTATAGCTATATAACTTTCTTTACTAAAATTTAAGTAATTCATGTATTTTTATTTATATTTATATTAATTAAAATCACGTTTTAAAAGAATTGAACTTTTAATGAAGATTTTGGAAATCTCTATTTTACCCTTAAATTAAAAACGCTTAAAATTAATTTGGAAAAAAAGGAATCGAACCTTTGTTCACGGAATCAAAATCCGTAGCCTTACCGTCTTGGCTATTTTCCATTTATATATAGTTAAGATAGCTCAGTTGGTAGAGCATAGGACTGAAAATCCTTGTGCCACCAGTTCAATTCTGGTTCTTGACAAATTCTTTTTTTGATTAAAAAATATTTGATGTTTATTAGATAATTTATATTTAATTAAATATTTAGAAAATAATATTATATAGATTTGTACCCACAAATTGTAATTTAAAAAATATTTAAAAAAATATTTAAATTTCTTTTTATTATATTTTTTTATAAAATTTGTTTTTAACATGAAAATATTATATTTTAATTTTTAACAGTTACAATAATTCCAGCTCCAATTGTTTTACCACCCTCTCTAATAGCAAAATGTAATCCTTTCTCAAGAGCAATTTTATATAATAATTTAATTTCAAGACATACTTTATCTCCAGGAAGTACCATAGATAATACCTGAGAAGGCATATCTGAAATAATTTTCGTAACTGTTCCTGTAATGTCGACAGTTCGTATGAAAAATTGCGGTTTATACCCAGTAACAAATGGTTTTTTTCTACCACCCTCTTCAGATTTTAAAATATATACTTCTGCTTCAAATAAATTATATGCTTTAATAGAATTTGGTTTAGCTAATACCATACCTCTTTTTATTTCAGATTTTTGAATACCTCTAAGTAAAACACCTATATTATCCCCTGGAATACATTTAGATAACGTTTTTTGAAACATTTCTAAACTTATTACAGTTACTAATTTATTCGTAAAATACCCTACAAGTTCAACAGTATCATTAATTTCAATAATCCCTCGTTCTACTCGACCAGTTACTACCGTTCCTCGCCCTATTATTGAAAAAATACTTTCTATACTCATCAAATAAGGTAAAGTTTCATTACGAATAGGGATTGGTATATAAGTATCCATAATATTTATTAAATTTAAGATTTTAGAAATCCAAATATTATTTGAGTCCAAAGTATCATACATATGAGATAATGCTTCAGAAGCCTTAAGAGCTGATCCGGAAATACAAGGAATATTAGGATCTATAAAGCCATATTCATTAAGTAAATCTTTAATTTCTAATTCTACTAAATCTAATATTTCAGGATCTGATACTAAATCTTCTTTATTAATAAAGACTATTAATTTTTGAATACCTATTTGTTTTGCTAATAAAATATGCTCTCTAGTTTGAGGCATTGGTCCTTCGACGGCTGAAACTACCAAAATAGCCCCATCCATTTGGGTGGCGCCTATAATCATATTTTTAATATAATCAGCATGTCCGGGACAGTCTATGTGAGCATAATGTTTTTGAAGAGTTTCATATTCTACATGAGTTGTTTTAATTGTAATTCCACGAATTTGTTCTTCTTTAGATGAATCAATTTCTTTATAAGATTTAGCTTTAGTATTTTTATTGAGTAAAGATAAAACTTTTGTAATAACCGAAGTTAAACTAGTTTTTCCATGATCTACATGACCAATTGTTCCTATATTAATATGAGGTTTTGTTCTAATAAAAGGTAATTTAATCATAAAATTATTTTAATTAATCTATATCTAGCATAATACTGTTGACTTATTTTTAAACTTTTTATATAGTTAAAATTTTATTTAAATATATAAGTTTATGTTTGTACAAAATATGATCTTTTTTATATACTTGTATAAAAATCATAGCTAATCTATAAGCTAAAGTTTGATTTGTTCTTTGATTTTTTGCATATTTAATAATGATCAATAGTGCCTCTACAACAGCTTGTTTAAGTAATTTACCTCTTATATTTGTTGAACCTTTTACAGAATATAATTTAATCGGAATAAGAAGATTAAATACAGCAGTTTCGATTAAATATATAGGAGAAATTCGTTTAACATATTGTTGTATAATTTGACACATAGTATCAATTATTTTTACATATTTTTTCATAGATTTTCCTATACATAAATGAACTATAAGTTCATAAATAAGTTTATTTTGTAGCATGTTTTATTTGTTTTACTCCATATTTTGATCTACTACTATGTCGCCCTACTACTCCGGACATTTCTAGTGCCCCACGTATAATTTTATAATTAACCCCAGGTAAATCTTGTGTTCTCCCCCCTTCTACTAAAACAAAATTATATTCTTGTAATGAATGTTTTTCTCCAGAAATATATCCTATAATAATTTTATTTGTAGATAATTTTATTTTAGCAACTTTTCTAGATGCAGAATTAGGTTTTTTAGGTGTCATAATATAAATTTTTTGACAAATACCTCGTTTTTGAGGATTTTGTAATAAAGCTTTGTTATTAAATTTAAACTTTTTAATTTTTCTACATGATTTTAATAGTTGATTTAATGTAGGCATTTTAATTATATTTAATTTTTAAATATATATTTTTTAATTTTAATTGATATTTTAAATATTTACAAAAATAAAGAATGTTATATTTTTTATAATCAATATATCGTTTAATTTTTCCCGTAAATTTATAAAATGAACGTTTTTTTCGTTCAGAAAAATTTTTTAATTTAAAAAATTTATGATATTCTATTTCAATATTAGAACAATATTTAAAAAATTTAATTGCGAACTTAATCTACCTATTCTTAGATTTTTATCAACTATTTTTATTTTTTTTATAGGAATAGTTATTAATTGATTATTCATTCTAGTGATATCTTTTTACGTGAATATTTACATCCATTATATGGAATAGAAGTTTTTTCAATAATAGATAAAATTGTAATATTTTCTTTTTTTAATAAATATAATATTAAAGATCTTAGAAAACTTTCTCCTTTAAAAATAATATGTATTGGCTGATTAATTAAAATTTTTTTTAAAATAAAAATACAAGCAAAAGGAGTTGTTTTTTGTTTATTTTTAAAATTCCATACCCCAGAACTTATAGTTGTTATTGTTTGCATATAAAATTTTTTATTAAAAAATTTTTGTTTTCCCAAAGTAAATATAATGTTATTTTTTTGAAAACTAACATATAAAAAATTTTTATTCATTATACTTGTTTTTGTTTATGTTTTTTAAATTTTTTACAATAAATATAAAAATATTTTTTTCGTTTAATAATTTGACACCAATTACATCGTTTTTTAATACTTACTTTATATTTCATTATACTTCATATTTATGTTGAAATTTACTTAATGTTTTAAAAATATATAATAAATTTGAAATATTTGACGAAACTCCAATAATTTTAGAATTAACAAAAAATCCTATTAAATTAAAAATATTAAATAAAGGCATGGATTGGGGATTTATAAAATTATGTTTATAAAAAATAAGTTTTGTTTTTTTGAATCTAAAATTTAAATTTTTTATATTTATAAATTTTGTATTAAAATACAAAATATTATTAAATGCATTTTTATATGAATTTTTAACTGCAATAGATAATTTTTTATGTTTAGCTGTCCCCACCCCAATCCAATTGGTTTTATTTCCAATAATTGATGTAATAAAAAATTTACGACTAATCATGCTTTTTGTAGTTTTAGCTGTAATTTTAATATTTAAAATATTATTTTCTATTTGTAAATGAGAATTTAAATACTTTTTATTTATAAGAATATATTCTAACAACAAATTTTTATTATAAACATAAGATTTACTTAATAAAAAACATTTAAACATTAATAAAATTTTATAATGTATTAAAATTAAATTTGTATTAATGTTTAAATTTTTATAATATAAAATCAAAATTAATTTAATAAATTCAAAAAGATGAAATAAATTAAAAACAAACATATATTTTATTAATCTAATTTATTTTTTATAAAATTTTGGAATAAAAAGTTCCTCCATCAACTTAAATCCTTTTCCTTTATATGGATCATATTTATGTAATTTTTTTAATTTTGAAATGATATTATTTAATAAAATAAAATTAAAAGACGATAATTCAAGACAAGTATTTGTAGTTAATTTATAAAAAATACTTTTTGGAAATTTAATATATATTTTATGAGAGTATCCCATAATTATTGATAAAACTTGTAAATCTTGAGTTAAACTTAATTTATATCCAATTCCATAAAGTTTTAATGTTTGTGTTTTATAGTTAAAATTTTTAACAAATAAATTAAAAGATTTAAATTTAACTATCTTATTAATATAATTATAATTTAAAAAAAATTGATTATTTTTTAAATTTATTTCAAATGTATGTGGTATTATATAAAAAGAATCAAAATTTATATAACGTCTATTAGTTAAATAATCCATAATCCAAAAATACCTAAACATTGTACGAAATTTTTTATTAAAAAATAATTTATTATAAATAATATATTCCATTTAATATATATATAAAATTAAAAACCCCCCTAATTTTAATAATTTTAATTGTTCTAATGTTAAAATACCTTTTGATGTACTAAATAAAAATAAACCGGTAAATTTAGATAACTTTAATATATCCTTTAATAAATATATTGAAAATTTTAATTTAGATTTAAATAAAATTATTTTAAATTTTTTTATAAAATTATTTATATAATTAAATTCTACTAACAAATAAAATTTACAAAAATCATTCAACATAATACATATAAAATTTTTAATATATTCTTTATTTTTTAATATTTTTAATATAGTATAATAATGTACAGTATAAGGAATTAATATAAATCTCTTATTAACTAATAGTGCGGTATCAAAAAATACCTTTAAGGTAGATAAATAATTCATTTATAATATAAAAGCATTAAATTTTAATAATTTGTAATATAATTTTTTATAATAAAAAGATTCTAAAATTCTAGTTCCTATAGGAATATTTTTTTTAGTTAATAAAATAGCTGAATTTGTTTTAAATTTAATATAACTTCCATCTTTAATATTTATAAAATTTTTAGAAGTTACAATTAAAGCTCTAACAATAGAAGATAATTGAATTAAAGAATTTTGTCTAATTTTTTTAACAACTCCTATTATAATATTTCCTGAAGTTATTTTTTGATTAGTTTTATATAAAAATCCAATACATTGTATTTGTTTGACTCCACTATTATCTATAATATTAATTTTAGTTCTTATAATCATTATTTTTTATAATTTTTAAAATTTTATGATTTTTATATAAAAATAATATTGCTAAAATAATATCATTATATTTTATTTCATTTCTAAAATCAGATATAAAAGAAATACTTCGCTTATGTCTAAGAAAAAAATATTTATAATTTATATAAATAAATTTTACACTCATCATTTTAATTTTTTTAATTAAAAGTGTTTTACTACGCCCAATTAATATTTTCATTGCATTTTTTTAAGTATAAAATTTTAACTTTAAAAGAAATTTTATATGTAATACATTTTATTAATTTTAAAATATTACTTATATTATTAAAAATTGTAAATTCTAAAATAATATTTTTTGGCTGTATACATATAAATTGATTAACTTTTGGAATTTTTTTAAAAAAAACTTTTATATATAATTTTTTATTTTGATTAATAATATTTTGAATAGTTTTAAAAGATTGATACGAAAAAACCCATCTGTTTTAGATATAATTAAACAACTGTTATTTTGAATAAATAGAGTTTTCATTATATTAATTTTTTACCAATCCAAATCTTAATTCCTAATAAGCCATATTTAGTTAATATAGAAAATTTTTCATATAAAACAAATATATCTAATTGTTGTAAAGACAAAAAACCAATTTGAAAAGTTTCTGAAGTAGCTAATTTAGTATTATTTAATCGTCCTGAAATAATTATTTTAAGACCCACAAAATTAGTATTGTAAGATAAATATTCAATTAATAAAATAGTATATAATTTATTATAAAGAGTCTGAATTGGAACATAATTTAATAAATTATATTTAATAAAAAATTTAAGTTTTTGTAATGAAAAATTTGATATATTTATTTTATAAATTCTAATAAATAAATTTAATAACTTAAATTTATTTATAAATTTATTATTTATTTTATTAATAATAAGTTTTCCACATAATTGATAGATATAATTAAAATAAAAACTTTGAAAATCTAATAATATATTATCAAAAAATAGAATTATTTTATAATAATATTTTAAAAAATGATTATATTTGAATTTATAATTAAATACCCATTTATTTCGATAATTATTAAATTTATTTATTCGAAATAAACTAGCCGATACACTCTTACTCATACTATCAAATAATATTAATAAATCTAAATTTAATTCTATTTTTTACAGATTTAGTCTTTACCCCATAATGAATTTTACCCCAAGGAGTTTTACTTGAACGTAATCCTATTGAAGTTCGCCCACATCCGCCCCCATGTGGATGATCAAAAGCATTCATAGCAACTCCCCTTACAGTAGGACGTAAATTTTTAAATTTTCTAAAACTAGCTTTACCAACTTTTTTCTTTTTATAAAATATAGAATTTTGTCCTACAATTGCTTGACAATTATTATTAAATAATTTAAATTGTCCAGATGGTAATTTGATACATACATATTTTTTTGTATAATAAATAATTTTAGCTTTAGTTCCAAAAGCTCTAGCCA